ATGAATGAAATGGTATAATTAATATTTATATGCTCAACCCCAAACTCACCACCATTGAGTTCATTCTGACTCATAGTGACCTTACAGGACACGGTAGAACTGCTTCTCAGGGTTTCCAAGATTATAAATCTTTATGCAAGTAGGACATTTGTCTTTCTCCTGTGGGGCAGCCAGCTGGAGGCCTCTTAACTGCTGACCTTGTTGTTCATAGCCCAACAGATAACCCACTACACAACTCTTTATACTATGCCTACCTGCTCTGGCTGGATCAGGATCTCAATATGCTTTTCTGGGAGGGAGGAAGGTATGATTATATAAAACAAAAAGGGAGGAGCTACCCCGTAAGAGTTGTTGTCAACAGTATAGAAAGAATACTGGCCAAAGCTACTAGAAGAGAGTAGGCTAAAATGTGGTCCATGGGGAAAAAGAGGAAGAAGTGCATACAGGAACAAAACGTTTGAAGGCTTTTGGTGAAAACAATGGTATCTTAAATGATGATAAATTCACCCCTTAAGGATTTTGAGCAGGAATAAAGTCGTAAGCTGCAGAAGAAACTTTACATTGAAAATACTTCATTTGCCTGATGATGAATCTGAGTTAACTAGGTGACCTTGCAAGGTCACATAACTTATTCCAGAGCCTCAACTTGAACTCAACCCTCTAATTTCATGCTAAGTGTTCTTTTTTATTTGATATGCCATAGATTCTTTTATGTCCCTAACCATCTGAAGTACCCTCCCTAATTCTCTCTGTTCCATCGCATGCCCCCTGGGGACAATCCAAGAAATGAAATTCTGACTGTGCAGAGCAGGTACAGGTGATGGATGACCTGACAATGAAAGAGGCGTGATTTCTAATCATAAGTGCACTCTAAAACTTGATTCTGGGATGGGAAGTGAAGAGGAATGACAAAAGAAAGCAATTCCATAGACAACGAGAGAAGCAGAAGAGGAAATATTACCCTCTTTTGTACGGTCATTTTATTTTGTACTTAAGTCCAAATATTATATAAAACATAACAGGAAAAACTGAACAAATTTATAAAATAAACTGAGGTGTCTTGATGGAAAACAAAAAAGCTTTGCCTTTTTGTCTAAAGATCTCTTGCTCTGTTGTTAGTGTTGTACTTTAGATATCAAATTAAGATATCCAGCTTGAAACAAAAGTTGATGCCCTGTGCGGTTAAGCCATAGTTAGCTTCGTGACTGGCTAGAAACAAAAGATTTTCTAAAGTCTTATCCTAACTATTGGCTACATAACTAATGCTGATAGAGAAAAATGCAAGCTTTTATCATCAGACAAGAGCGAAATGGGTGAAGGAATGCAACTTACCTCCAAGTCGCCTGAAAGGAGGTGGAAAAATAAATACTGTTTTCCCAGTGTTCTCCCCAAAGCATTACACTAAGCATGCAGAAGGAGTGCTGTGAGCAGCTACAACAGTAAGATCCAACCTAGAAGTAGGTCTCAGGCCAAGCATGGGAGAGTGGATGAAGAAATCTTATCATCTGAGGCCAATACCATTTTATAGAATGCCCGCCTGCCTGTCCGTCTTGTGCTAAGGGATGTCTATGGCTGATTTTTTTTTGTTGATTCAAAAGACATTTCCAATTTCAACCTTGCTGAAAAAGAGGCGTGTTCACAATTGCTATAAGAACAGCTAGGATACAGGGTAAGGCTGACAAAATTATTTAGCAAGCACATGCTAGCTATTCCAGTTTGAAATGTACTCAACTGTAAAATTCAAAGGTAAGGCTGGAGCTGTTGCCCCTCCGGATGAGGAAGCAAAATCTTGCAATGAGAGGGAGTAGGCACTCACGAACTCTAGATGGAAAACGGCCTCCTCGAGCTAAGCTTGAGATGAAGAAGAGCATTGCCCAAGGCTGACCATGCCATTTTGACACCAAACAGAGAGGAAAAAGGGAATTAGGAAGGAAAAAGCTAGTAAGGTATTATTCCTCTGGGTTTGACTTGATATATGAACCTAAGTAACTGCACAGATATGCTACCCATTACTCCAGCATGAAGCTGATGGTAAATATCTCAAGACATTTTAAACCCAGAGAAATGCATAAACACATGAAAGTTACAAACATACTAAAATCAAATCTCCATGGTAAAATCTCTTCCGGTTTGAAGTCCACGTTACTCACGTCTTACTAATTCTGTATATTATTGGGGGGGAAAAAAAAACTAACAAATGCAAAGATTTGTTTTATTTCTACTAGGGTAAGGGGAAGGATAAATAGAACTGTTTCCAATTTGTTCCCCACTGTACACATACATACCCACATGCATACATACACACACACACCAAAAACTCCCCAACCAAAAAAAAGAAAAAGAAAAAATCAAGAATCGAAAACCCAAAACACCCTCAAACTGCACCGATACTTCGCATTTTGACCAAAATATTAGATCCTGGGAGGAAGTGCAAAATGCAAATCAAATGACCAAATATGCTGAACAAACAGCATTATTAATATACAAAATATTTATATTACTGCACTACTAACAGGTGATGTTCTCTGTGTCTGTAAAACTTTGGAACCACATAGCTGATCTGTTAAATCTAGTCCATGCCAGCTTCCAAAAACCAGAAAAGATTTTAGTTAGCTTCATTCTTTGATGCCTCATCAAAATTTTCTACGAGATCTAGAAAAAGAACAAAAAAATAAATGAGTCAAATGATACAAAAACAAACGTAAAAAAAAAAAAATGTAAATAGGATCCCTAACTTCTAACCCCAATAAAAACAAAATCATTTCTACTAGGATTAATGTAAAAACTACAGGGTAAGAGGCAGAAACAAACTGGTAGGATTTCACTTACAATTCACTTATCTGCTTACAATAGTAATCCTGAGAAAATGTGGATTTATTTTTTATTAATCTACATGAATTATTAAATTGAAAAGGATTTTCATGTCAATCACAATTCTCACAGAAAGGTTATAATAACTGTGTAAATTTATAATCACAGCAATTTCCATTTAATAAACACAGGTCAGAGATATGCGTGCCAACTTCTGATACATGAGAGGGCTTTCAGTCTTTTCCATTAGTTCCTATTTGCATCGATATGCATTAATTTAAATTCAAAACTCACCCATCAATGAAAAACTCAAAGTTATGATTGAAATGTGATAAATAAAATACTAAAAATCTTAAAATGTCACTTACCTGGAACATCATCATCTTCCTCATCAATGTCTTCTGGCTTTGGGGTTTTGCTATCCAACACTATAAAAGTTAATTTTAATATTAATCACCGAGAATAATTTTACAGAACACTTGAATTTTTGTCATGTTATCCCTTCTAAATTTCACATATTACTCAGAAAGAGCGAAATATTGTCAACCTACGGTCAGTCACATATTTTTGCTTACACAATATTAAAGTCAATAAAATTTTAACTTAATTACACATACACTAAATACAATTGGCAACTGCAATACAGGTTACGCTAAATAACATATGTAAATGGATCATTCAGATGAGTTTTAACAAAAAGTCATTAAAGTTAATTTATAGCAGTCATATTCTATTCTCCATGTCAAATATCAGTATTAAAGATTTCCCCATCTCTTTTATGTTAGAAAGTATCTAGATAAGTAGAATAGACACTAAAGTAGTATCAAGACATTCTGCTCTTTGGCGCTGAAACTAGAACTGTCCTGTAAATTCTGAGCTTGGGTTGTCATATCTATAATAAACAGAGCTAAACAAAAATATAGTTCTGTAATAATACTTTCTGTCACTAATCAGAAGTGAAAATCAGATTAACTTTTTATGTGGGCTGCATATTAATGGCACCTTGGCTTTTTATTTAACTCATTATATGAGGTTAACTTATTGTATAAAAAAGGCTTCCAAAAGTGTGTGAAAAATTCCATTTTTCTAAAACATTTTGATGTACCCTTGTATTATTTCCAAAATGTATGCATTTTATATACCACATTACTTAACTACAGAAACTTAAAATTGTCACGCATAAAAGGATTTTTCAAAAATAACAAAATGCACACACAAACTAATCCTTTCAGCATTTAAAGCAGTTTCCCAAACTTATTTGGCCTACCACCCACTTTTCATAATAAAAATTACTCAACAACTCCCTAGCAATTAAAATATTTTATACTACAGCCCACAATCCAAGATATAATGTAGGTATCTGGTTTTAGTAGACTCCCTGGAATGCTGCCATGTCCCTGGAGGAGGTGGTATTGGCCATTTTGGGAAACACTGATTTAAAATATTTGGTTCTTTAAATAAGGTAGACAGAGAAAAAGTATAAAACTGAAATACCTACCTTGCCTGGGGAACTGTTCAGCTAATTTCCTAAGACTTGTTAAGCTGTCAGCACCAAGCTGACTTAATATTCCAGGCAGCATTTCTGTGATTGGTTTGGCTTCTGCATGGCCAGTAATAGCAAACGTGTTAGCAGAGAGGGAAGCTTGGACCTTGGGATTGTTGAAGTGAATAACTGTTCCATCATCTTTAATCATGTTTACCTGAATAACCACAGAAACAAGTTATTTCATATATTTGATAAAATGAAAATAATTTAAAAAAACAAATTGTGTTTTTTAAAAACCTGGTAGTTACATAATTATCTAATAAAAAGTGGCCATAGGTAGAAAATAGTTGTAGCAACAAATTAAAATGGTCTAAATAACAAAATTACTAGGATGGTTAAAAAAATTAGTTTTTGTATTACAGAATCTAAACTTTTAAATTCAAAGACTCACTGTGAGAAGGAAGTTTATGTCCATGAATGGGGAAAAAAGGGGAATCATTACTGGCTTCTTAGTGAAATTACCCATTAGAGGATTGGTTGTAAAGAGAAAACACTGAAAATAACCACTGAAAAATCCATAAAGAATACTCAGAAATTTAATCATTCAGATGTTTTACTTCTTTGGACAGTTAGTGAATTTACAAAACTTCCAAATTGTTCTCATCATCATTTTATCCTCTGTAGAGGATTCTGTCAGTTCTTCAAATTTGTAAATGTAATTTCTCAATCCTTATAAATGTCAAAGTAGCTCTCCCAATTCACTTGCCTGGCCACCTAAATATGACTAGGAAACCTTTAAAATCGTTCACATTCTTTCACCAATATGAACTTTTCAGATTTCGTTTTACCTACTGCCTGAGACTTACTGAAACGGAAAGCTGAACATGTACTATTTAAATCACCACTTTTCAGGGGGTGGTGGTGGTGGTACAGATGTGAACTTGGATAAATTAAATGTATAAATAATATGATTCCACCATGTAGGGTGAGGTTGAGTCCACTGGGTAAGTTACCCTGGTGGCAACATACTTATTATAAAAAGTTAGGAGAGCTAACTCTTGGCTACTTTGGATGCATTTCACACACCATCCAAAAATTGCTTTTGGCACAATCACGCAGAGATGCTGAGTGTTGTCCAGGGTCAGGGGATCTGGGCTTTGCTTCCTCTCAGAGGTGATCACTAGCATTGACAAGGCAGTACAGGAAAGAAAGGGGAGAAAAGGGCTTCTAAATTTCTGGCAAGAGTTGGAACACAGAAAAGATAAATTCCCTGGAAGGTTACAACTAAACTTCACAAATAATTTCCAAGATTTTATCACACACGAAAAAAACCATGATTTCCTTTCCTCTTTTACTACTATATTTAAAGTTCTATGAAGCATACAACACACAAGAAGCATTCAAGCACTACTGACATGGGCTGTTGTAAACAAGGATTTAAACTAACATTAGAAAAAGATCAGTGACACGATTCTGAAGATGACAGCTTATACAGCTATTTCTAACATTAAAGTGCCTGGAACAGAGGGGCTTGAGAAAGACATGAACTTGGGGGATATGAGGTGGGGCATTACTCTGGACTTATCTAAGAATCACATTTTAAATGGGGAAAGAATAAAGATTTGATAACTACATTTTCTAAATCAAGAGCAAATCACATGGTTAATAAAGGAATTCTACAATTCTTCCATATGTGAATAGTTTCAAATGTTGGAATATGAGATGTGATTTTATAGGCAATAAATTATAAGATATTTAAAATCACTTATTATTGTGAAAACTTACCAGGAGGGGAAGGGGAAGGTGGGGGAGGCAGGGGGAACCGATCACATATAACCCCCTCCCTGGGGGACGGACAACAGAAAAGTGGGTGAAGGGAGACATCGGACAGTATAGGCAAGAAAAAATAATATTTTAAAAACTATCAAGGCTTCATGAGGGAGAGGGAAAAATGAGGAGCTGATACCAAGGGCTCAAGTAGAAAGCAAATGTTTTGAGAATGATGATGGCAACAAATATACAAATGCTTGACAATGGATGATGTATGGATTGTGATGAGTTGTATGAGCCCCCAATAAAATGATTAGAAACAAAAATCAAAAGAACCACTTCACACCATTCTGTTGAACTTATAAGTTTTTCAGTTCAAAGCCTTCATATGTTAGCAGAACAAATACTGATGCCACGAACTCTTGGTTCAGTAAGCAACATACTCAACAAGTAGCTGGTTAAGTGAAAACGCAGGACTTGAACTGAGCTTTCACCAATGTGTGCTTCGTTTCCTTCTACGTCACCCTCATTTCTGAAACATTTATTTGCCTATCAAAATCCAATGCCTTCGTCACAAGAAAGCTTGCCAGAAAATCATTTTCTCAGACTATAGGCCACATGGAGAACGCAATGAAAGCAGGATAAAGACATGGCTGTCTCTATATATATGCAGAACAGGCTAACGTGGGGACAAAAACAGTAAGTAAATGCACAAATTTCCCTCCAATTCGAGCTTCTCTTCGAAAGGATAAATGTTAATCAAGTCATGCATGACACTGATGCGGATCTTTCTAGCTTGAAATATGTTGTTTGTGTGAAGTGTGAAAGTAGAATGAATTCTACTTCAGAGTGCAAAGCAGAAATTAATTTTTTTTCTGAAAATGAGAATTTTAGTGTAAATAAGAGGTCCTGGGGGACAGTGAGGAACTGAGGGCGACCATAATTTAACGGTCTCTGGAAAGTGTAAACAACACTAAGCGTGGGTGGGGGTTGGGGAAGTGGTAATCAGCTCCTTTCTGCCCATGGAACACAGTGGCACCTGGCAGAAAGCTGGCTCTCTTGTGGGTGGGGTCGCCTCCCTCAAGAGAGACCTTTTTAGGCACAAGCTATTACAAGTTATCAAACGGTTTATTCATGGTAAGAATAAGGTACACCGATGAAGAAAGCTGATGGTACCCGGCTATCAAAAGATATTGCAAGGTCTTAAAAGCCTTGCAAGCGGCCATCTAGCTAAGAAGCAACAAAGCCCACATGGAAGAAGCACACCAGTCTGTGAGATCATGAGGTGTCGAAGGGATCAGGTTTCAGCCATCAAAGACTCACAAAAACATATCATTGTGACAGGGGGGAGTGCAGAGTGGAGACCCAAAGCCCATCTGTAGGCAATTGGACAAGATTTCCTTCCACAACCTGGTTGTTTCACTTGGTCTTTGTATAAAACCGTCTCTGGTGGCCTTTCCTATCCACACCGCCCTTCTCCTACCACTCCCACCTGGAAGCTTTAGATTTCTTTGCCTTTAGTAACGTGTAAAAGATATCTACTTATGATAAATTAATGAATTTATGAACGACCAGAGAAGCTTGTCCAAACAATTCTCCCCATTTTTGTTTCTGAAGAGGTCATACATTAAGCTTTCGGAGGATATAAGAATCACTAATAATGTCAGTCTACAAAGTAAGATGAGGACAAAAAATTTTAGTGAATTTTTTAAACTTGCCAGTGATCACCCTACTTCCCACCCCAAACACTTTTTGTGCTCTGAAAGTCAGAGATAGCGAGCAAAACACACACACACACACTCTCTCTCTCTCTCTTCATTATATAGAGGATTCTATTATCATTTACCTACTTACTAAAATTTACTTGTAACCTCAAAATCAGTATGGTAGCTGAGGCAAAAATAAAAAGAGCCCCATGCACATGTCCCTAGTTGCGATAAAACAAGTCAATGTCCAAACTTTCAGTTTACTCTCATAATGTAAACAAATGTCCTTTTTGGTGGTCTGCTTAGTGCCGTACTTTGGCATTTCTATTGGCGAGCTAACTGTTTATAATGTGCCCCAAATGTCTAGTGTTCCTAAGCAGCAAGCTGTGATAAGCCTTATAGGGAAAATCCATATTATTAGATAAGTTTTATTCAGGCTAGAGTTATACGGTGATGTGAATTCAACATTAATGAATAATGTATGTTAAAGAAGATGTCTATAAACAAAAACATATAAAACAAGGTAATGTGTTAATTGGTTGATGAAAATGTGACCCTCTGAGGCTGGCAGGAACCTAATCTAGAATATTTCCCAGAAATAAAGGGTTCAGCGTTCATTAGTTGATGCTCACAGCATCTTTGCAGAATTTAACTACTGCAAATAACAATAATTTACTGTTTTCATATCTCCATGTGTCTGAAACCTGGTATGATTACAAGTATACATTTACAGCAGTCACGTAATTTCCCCTCAAGAAATTATTTCAAATAAAAATTATGTATCCTATCATTCAACAAGTCAATTATATTTTAACAATTCAATTTTAAATATAACACAAAATATAGTGTTTGAGAAAACCAGGTAATATACAGGACTAGATATTCCTTAAAATTATTTTAGATTGTAAAAGGCAACATAAATGATAGGTTTTATCTTGGTTCTCAAGGAATCAATTTTAGAAAGAGGGAAGGAGAAAAAAATAAAATGCCCCTCCATCTTTGGTTCAATTATTCTGAAATTGTATAGTTATTACCTACAATTGTTAATTATATATATTTTCTTCAACAACTAATCTATAAAGGTAGAAAAAAAGCAAGCAAATACATACACATGCACACACAGCGATAAGTATGTACACATACCTAAGGACCTATATATCCAAACCAAGTCAAACTGTGAATCTTTACAGGAAAGAAAGCCTCATCTTTCTCCCAAGGAGTGGGCTGGTGGTTTTGGGAGTGTTGATAAGTTGTTCAATACAAAAATGATGGTCTGATATGTAAACCCCTATCAAATTCACAATAAAAAAGTTGTAAAAACAAACAAATCCTGGGGATAAAAAGGTAAATATGGGGCATTGTATCTGTGGACTACCAGGAAGACTTCTGGGAGGAAATCACTCCTGTAGGAAGACTTGAAAGAGGAGAACATCAGCAACGTCCTTGAAAATACTACTGGAGATTTCCTACACCCACAACCGGCACAATGAATTCTGGCGTTGAGTTGATTCACAGGAATCCTAGTGGTTGGGACATGTGAAATGCTGGCCTTGTTGCTAGCAGCCCAACACTTAACCCCTTCACCGCCTGGGGATGGTTAAGTACTTAATAGTACACAAGGCAGGTATACCTCTTACTGTCCTTTTTGGGGGAGGTGCATGAGAAAAAGGCCAAGCATGGGTATAGGAAATCATAACGGAAAGGACCAAAGGCAGAATAAACACAGGCACAGCATGGA